GAAAAAGCTGCTGTACTCTCCTTGGCACCAAGCTTCTCTACAGAGCAAATGAGTCCACACACATCGTAGGTTTATAGTTTCAAATGGAGGAGATTATTTTTATGGAGTGAGTCACAGCGCACAACTTAAAGTGGAAAAACCTCTGGGTGGGAGCGAACCACTTGCTCCTCTGCCATTTGATGAGCTTGTTGCATTCCTGGAAGATGCAGCAAGTAAACCTGGAAAGCCACATATGCACTTTCCATCTCCTTTCACACCGTGCAACAAGGCTTCCCTGTAGATAAATTCAGTGACAGAACAAGACCAAGGCAATGAGGTTATTTTCTTTCCCTCTGCTGAGCTCTGATGCAAGAACAAAGATTTGAAGGTAAAATTAGAGAGGGAAATGATTAGCCTACTGAAATACCCAGTTCTTTACTACATACAGATGCTTGATGGTCCTGTATATGACCATAAACTGCATCCAACTGGAAGGCCTCGTGGCAACATGGTGAGGCTACTTGTGGCAGGGTAGCTCCTACAAAATACCACAATGTTGTAACCTCCAGAGTAAGGTGAATATAAGGTACCTCAAAACTCTAGTTAGCCCCCACTGACTTGTGGGTACTCCTTGGTTGGAAAAAGGCTAAGGGACATCACCCCGAGAGAAATGGACCCTTGCTGAGATGTTAGGCAGTCAGTAGCTCCGGCAGAAGCTACAACCATTGAGACACCAACAGTCTGGACTCGGAATCCAAAGGCCAGATTATCTCAACGGTCTAAAGAAGGGAGGGTAGGTCTTGGTCAGCCTCCACTCCTCCATAGTCTTGCCTAGGTGTACACACTGAAAGTCTGTGCAATGGTTGCAGGACTCCATACAAGTGGATTCATCAGGCACCTGGCAAGACCTCTTATGCATACACCATGATCCAGAGGATCGAGAGTTGCCTACTAATAGGTGTAAGAAGGCAAAGGTTCTTTAAATAAGACAAGGCAGGGAATTGTGTGCAGCACACCAGGAAGAAGCAGACACAGCTTAATAAAGCAGATCAGGCAGACACAGCAAAATCTCCCCCAATGCTCTTTCAAAATGGCTAGAGGTTAGATCAGGACATTTCCAACCTCCTTCTAGAAAACAGGAGAGGCTTCCCAGCTACATTTATGCTGCGACAGGTATGTGGGAGGCAGCATTTGCCTGTAGATAAATCCAGGCTGCCAGCACTGGGAAGAAGCAGCAGCTGCTACCTGTGATGCAGGGGATGTGTGTGGTGGGGAGGGGGCAGAGTAGTAAAGTAAAGGTAGAAACAGCTATACATTCATGATGCTTGGTAGCGGGGGATGAAACAGAGCTTGTAATAGCAATGAGATGGCCTCTGTGAGCTGCAAAGGAGTTTGGAGATCTCTATTCCCTTCCAGCTTGTCCCCTGTGCAAGTAAGAGAGCCAGCCCAGGGTTTGGGGGCCAGAACATGCAGGAGGCATCAGCTGAGTCTCCCACATCTTAGGAGCCTGTTTTTGCCAGCACCCACACATTTTTGCAAGGCTTGGAGGTACATGGCCTGATGTGCTACAGTGCCTTTCCCCACCCTCCTCCCACAAAGAAGCTGCTGGCAACAGGTTTGACTGCTGTTAAAGAAGCCTTCTATTTGGTTCCTGGAAAGGGGAGTCTACAGCCAGAAGAGCCAGCTTCTACAACTGCAGGACATTTCCTCCCCCCTTCCTATCTAATGGCATCAAGACTGGAATCAACAAATCCTAACATTAGGGCAGCTTCAAGAATAGCAGCCATCTTTTGAACATGCATCTGCAAAACATTGTCTGAAGAAAGGATAAAATAGCTCAGAATCTCCATCCCTGTCATAAGAGTGATCATCAGTGTTGACTGAAGTTGTAGTAGCACACTTAGGTGAACTGGAAAAGCAGTCTTGAGCAGCGCAGGCACAGGTCATCTATACGGTGTGAAGGGAACTATAAAACAGTTCAGTAGTGGTTCCTGCCTTTTGGAAGTCAAGAGATGAACACCCCACAGCATAAGAATAACCAACCTAGAGAAGACTCAGGACTGTAGCTCCAGGTTGTTCTATTTTGGGTAGATACACTCCCACTGCAGCTTACGTTAACTAGTGGTTATTATATTCCCCAAAAGTGCTTGGTATTGAAGTATTTTTTTTCTTTTTGGGGGGACCAGTGTTTTTGCTACAAGAGAGGAGCACCTAGAAAGGTCCCCAAAACTTCCAAGCAAGTGTGTCAGCAGTGTCCATTACTCTCCCCTGTGTAAGTAGATGCAAGAAGAACCATGAGCACCAAACCTCTGCAGTGACCGTTTGGACTCAAAAAATGTATTTACTGAAGACTGTCACTGTCCCGTCCCCTCCACTGTTCCGTTTTCAGTCTGGACCCTTTGGATAGCACCATTCTAGGTGTCCCAAGAATAAAGGCTTCTGAACTTTTGTTTTGGAAAAAAGCATCAAGCCTTTGAGAGAAGGGGAAAAGGTCATCCTTCTTTGGAAGCAACTTCAGGTATAATACTTGTACTTTTAAGTACGTGTGCGCAGCCAGCAGTGCTGTTCCAATTGTCATCTTCACACACCTTGCCAAACTTTACCAGTCCTACTGTGCAATTCTCCTACAATCAAGTACCCTTCTCTGTACACTATCACCCCAAACCTACACCAGGCTTGAATCACCCCCATCTTCATTTTGTCCCCAGATTCAGTCTATAGCTTTCTTTCACCGGGGCATCTCCAAAAATCCATCCTTTTCCCTTCAGGTTCAGCTACCACTCTTACACAATACCCTGATCTCACATGACTTTAAAGTAAGAAAACCCAAAACAAAAAAACCCAAATAAAAAAGAAAAAAAAGCTTGTTGTGACCTCCTTCCCCCCCACACCCCAAGTCTCAGCTCTTGGAGCTTTAGACCATCTCACTATGTAGCTTGAAAAAAAGTTGAAGGGGGACCTCTTCATTCCTTTTGTCCCACAGCCTTTCCAACCCTTCTTTCTGCCCCCACTCCTTGCACTTGGCTCAACATTAAACAGATCACTACTGGGAGAGAACTGTGCTCCCAACAGGTGGCCCTGAGAAACCCTGTAAATCACTGCACGCTTGCGTTTCTCATCTATGCAGGTTTGTTTTTGTAACATTTTGGAGTTCAGTTGTCCTTCAATTGTCTAAAGCTAGGACAGAGTGGGCACATCTACCCATTTGCTTTAATGTACACTCGCCTATCCTAATGTACATTAAAGTGTCGCGTAAAAAAAACCACGTGCTTTAATGTGCAATAAAATAGGCTAATGAACATTGTGTATCACTTAATGTGCATTAAACTAAAACTCTAAGTCAGGCTAATGCGCATTTTCCTAGTACCTCATAATAGAGGGCCTTAATCAAATCTGCTGGAGTGTGGCAATTGCCATGCTCCAGCAGCCTCTTGCACCTTGTACATCAGTGTCCTCGCACTTAAAAATGGGGTGGTAGCACTTGAGCTAAAAGCTCATTCAGCAAGCTTCAGTTCAGGTGCCCTGCTGCCATTTTTAAGCATGGGGATACCGATGCAGGAGATGCAGAGGCGCTTTAATTAGATCAGCTCTCGGACCATTTCTTTTAAAAGTGCCGTCCCCCCTCTTCCCAGAGCACGTGTAAAAGTGCTCTGAGGTACAAGATTTAATGTGCATTAGCTAAAGAACATTAATGCATGTGTAGATGCACCCAGAGTCAGTTCTGCTGCCTTGCCTAGAAGTAGCTACCTTCAGCCTAAGAAGTGCTAAACAGAACAGCCACCCAGAGAAGAAAAAAAACCCCCCAAAAAACTTAGTTTAGAAACCCAAATTGAGAAGAGAGTACACTTTCATGGTGAAGACAGAAGTTTAAAGGTTGGAGTCTCTACTGTATTCTAATGGAGTTGTGGTGCAATGGTAGTCTACGAAAATTGAGCTAGCACATTTGTAAAATTTAGCATCTTCTACAATGTATTGCCCCAATGGGAGAGCTTTAGGGGTACTCTACCTTGTAAGGGCTTGAATAATGAAAAGAAAGTTCATTTTACTGAAGATTTATTGAAGCAGGTAACTGCAACAGCAAGGTGATAGCTGGCCACAAACAGCAATACATGTTCCTATATTTAGAAAAGGTGAAGAAACATTGTTTGCTACATTTGTATCCAAGATACTTTAAAATACTGATGTGTTTTGTTTTAGGGACTCCAGGTAGTTTGAATAGTCTTTCAGCTGACAAAGTTTTCCATCTCTATTAAAGGTTAGAGATCAGTGACTCTTCCCTTTAAAAATCAGGAGCCATCCAATATTGAAGGATAATAACCAAACTTGCCAGACACCCAATCCTTCTGCAGATTGGGTTGGGAATTAAAGGGCATGCCTTGAATTGCCATGGGCATGGAGAAGCGGGAGCACTTTCACTGTCCCAGAAATCTTTCATTCTGCTACTATACTCAATACATATACAGATGTTTTTCCTTTAAAACAGAGACTTATTGCTATATGGGCAATACTTGAAGGCAGGCATAGTTTTGTCAGTTTGCTTTTCCTCCTTTGAGGTGTCAGCCAGCCTTCACACCTAGGCCCTAGTTATGCTCCCCAGACAGTTCATATGAACTGTTCATAATTGCAGAACAATTTGCAACATTGCTCTAGGCAGCGTTCTGGATTTGAGTCACTGAAAGCTCTCTTACAAACTTTAACAGGGGAGCCCATCACTGCAGAGCCACTCAAGCCATTTGTTTTGTGCAAGTTAGGGATCAGGATCCTGAACAATTCCAGATCTCTGGTGAGATGCATTGTAATGAACCACCCAGTCATTCTGTCCCCTCCTCACCCTACCGCCACCCAAAAGAGGTAGGCCTCAAATGGGAAGCAGTCATTTGTCAGCAAATTGAAGTGTTCGAGACTAATCCCCAGTTCTAAAAACTCTGCTTATGAACTAAACTGGTTTACAAAGGCCTTCCCCACAACCCCACCCCAAACCAACGAATAAACGCAACACATGTAATGCAATTAAGTAGCACTGACATCAGATCTGTAAGTTTATTTGCTCAATGTACAACGGCTACATAATGACTCACATTCATGATATTCCATCACTGAGGAAAACTGCTAAGAATGGTCCGTGTGTGAAATAATTCCTTACAGAAACACGGAGTTGGAAAAATAATCACTGATTAGACCTTAAAAATAGTTCACTGCATAACATGACAAAAAGCACAAACAAAGGCTCATTCAAAGAACATAGTCATTGTTCTCCTACACTGTAATAGTTATAATTTCACCATGACGAACACCAGACATTAAGATTAAGCTAACACTGGTGTTTTCTTTTGCTTTTTTCCTTTTTTTTTTAAATTTTTTTTTTAAACAAAATCATATATAATTGCATGTCACTATAGCAACATCCATAACAGATCAGTTTGTTACGATCACTATTTGGTAGAGCAAACTTTACCCCCAAAAGAAAAAAAAATAAATTAAAAAACTTTAAAAAATTTTTGAAGACTATTTTGTCATAGGAATACATAACATCTACAGTATAAGTTAATAAATTTCAAGCTACTGTATAGAAATACGACACTAGCATGCACAATATTGTATCAATAGAGTAATGGAGCAGTCATTTCACTGGAGAGACAGTATCATAGGCAAGTGCATTTCTTAAAAAAATGAAAGAAACCATTCAAGCTGCTTAAAAATCAAGTCCCCAACCCCACTCCACATTTAGCCCTCTTGTGCGATCTTTCCTGTTTAAATTGTCTAAAGCAGCCAGAGCAAAAGCTGAAATTAAAAAAATAGGTTTTGTAATTCCAGTAAATCACTTCCAAATTATACAGGTAGGGACAACACTGCTCACTGAACATGAAGGTAAATTAAATAAAGAGTTAAGAAGCCTAAATAAAATCTTCCAGTCCAAGGCATTTCCTGTAGGTTTCTGTCAGTTACCTAAGCTGCAAGTCTCTTTATTGATCTTTCCAGTAGGGTTCCTTAATCAGGCTATTTTGGTTTAACTTGCAGGAGGTGGCCTTCCACTGAAGCCACTTTTTGTAAGCTAAGAGATGTTGCATATAGTACATTCACCGAGTATGTGCGATAGGACCAAACAAGCACATATTCACATGGATTTCCATCCATCTTTGCAGGGTCAATTTTGTAAGGAACATCACCTTTAAAAGCAACCCAGTAGGAACTCTCTTTCCTGAAAAGGGCCTACTAACTTTGCTCAATTAAAAATTAAAAGGAAAAAGCTAGCTCTAGAAGTCTAATAATGCCAGACTCGCTACCCAATTGAACATAATGAATTGTACTGTATATGCAACACCAAAATGCTCTGTTTAGACTGACTAGCAAAAGGGACAATGAAAGCCTGTTTTAAGTGTGACACAAATGCAGTTTCCTTCTACCGCGTAAACTTTAGTTAAGAAGCCACAGAGTACAGCGATCTGCAAGTCAGAGAAGGAAACAGTGAACTTCCACCAACCATGTAAAAAAATCATTACTCAAATAAGAGTAAATATTACCCGGTAAGCTTTTTATCATTTTCACCAACCCAAATAAAATAGTCTTTTAAAAATGAAATAATTAAAAAAGGAGGAGGTTTTAAAACAGAACTAAATTACAGGGTTAAGTTATGTTGGGCAGAAACATTTATGACTGTAGCTCTTCCTTTGTGGATTTCTCTACCAAATTTAGTTTTTAAGATCCTGAAATTTCACTCATTACACCATGAACTCTCTCAGGTGAACGAACACCCAGCTTCCGTGAGAGCTGACAAGGGAGTCTGGGTGCCAGAGATCTGCCGATGAGCTTCATGGTACAGTGCGAGAAAAAGTCAGGTGCAAGTGAAATGGCAGTGTAATCCCTGAGGAGGAGCTGCAGCACCCTAAATCAGGATAGTTTTTGAAATACCAAACAGTACATGACATACAGACCTGAATTAACTTTATTTAGTGGCATTTTTAGTTTAAAGGCTTTCCCCCCTTTCTAATTGTGTAATTCCTTTACTGTGGACTAATAGTTTAAAACAGCCGCTTGCCAAGCACCTGTCAAGTTGAACACAAAAAAAAAAAAAAAAAAAAAATTAGAGCAGCTTTGATGTTCCTCAAGCAGGCAGTCTTCTCACTTTGGGAGACAAAGAATAGCTAAACCAGTCCACCGGCTAGGACCAGATAAGGATGGCAAGCCAAAATGAACTAGCAAAAAAAAATTATACAATCAATGGCTTGATGTCACATATGGCTGTAATGTAGAAATACTGTAAACTGTAATTTAGTGTTAATACTGTAAAGCTACCCTAATAAACATCTTAACAAAAGGTTAAATGGCCTAAATCCCTGGGGATTAACAAACCCCAAATTCTAAAAATCTTTCAGTTTGGGGATTATAAACTACGCCATGACAGACTGAGCATGCCACAGGGCACGCTGCTATATGGTAACAAACATACAGCACTTGAACTGAAGAAGACGTGCACATAAATCCTTACTGGAACCACAGAACTTCATTTTTTTTTTTTAAAAATGAGGGCCATTCCATTCAAGTTATTTCATCTTAAAACCCTTTTATTTCTAGCAATAAAGTTAAATTAAAGACAGCTCCACTTGTATTAATAATCTACAGAACAGTCCATATGCCAGTGTGAGGCTGCCATTCCATACCAGCACAGCCAGCCCGACTTCCACTAGTGGTGTTTTGGCAAAAATGTCAAAGAGGCAATCAAAGACAGGTCGTGGGGGCCTCCCTGGGAAGGTCATCCCTCCCTTCCCCTCCCCCACCCCTGACCCCCTGCCACTTGTGGGAAAAAAATAAAGACTGCAGTAGTAGCATCAGCGTGCGGCTGCCAGTCCATTTGGGGGTCTAATTGTTGCCTTCTCCACCATCGTCATCTTGCTGATCACTTGTCCAGAGCGTTAGGTTGTCACGAAGGAGCTGCATGATGAGCGTTGAGTCTTTGTAGGAATCCTCGTTGAGGGTGTCCAGCTCTGCAATGGCATCATCAAATGCTGTCTTGGCCAGGTGGCACGCCTGCTCGGGAGCATTCTGGATCTCGTAGTAGAAAACTGAGTAGTTAAGTGCCAGGCCAAGCCTGATGGGATGAGTTGGCTGCATGTGCTCCTTGCTGATCTCATGGGCTTCACTATAGGCTTTCTCCGAAGACTCTACCACGGTCGCCCTCTTCTCACCTGTGGCCACCTCAGCCAGGTAGCGATAATAGTCCCCCTTCATCTTCAGGTAAAAGACTTTACTTTCATACTGTGTCTCACTGCAGTTCTTGATCAGATAGTTGTCCAGCAGGCTCAGCACATCTTGGCATACAGCTTCCAATTCCTTCTCTATTTTCTCACGGTAGGCCCGTACCATTTCTATCTTCTTTTCGTTACCATCAGCAGATGTCTTCTGCTCAATGCTACTGATTACACGCCAGGAAGAGCGCCGTGCTCCCACTACATTTTTATAGGCCACAGACAACAGGTTCCTTTCTTCATTAGACAGTGGCTCATTCAGCTCTGTCACCTGTATTGGAAGGGGAGAAAGAAAAAGAAGTTGGGCTAAATTAAAACCTCTTGTCATTTTCCATCTCTACCTCACACTGATGTTCCCACCTATCTCTAGCCAAGTGTCCTGAGCAAAGTACGGGTTGACAAGGTTCTGGTTTACATTTCCATAGCACAGATGCAACAACCTTTAAGGACATCATTCCAAGTTTGGAAGCTGTCAGAACCACCACTAGAAAGCAATCTGTTTGGTGTTGCAAACCCTGACAGTACCAGTTGTTCAATTTTACCCAAAGTTTAAGTACTTTGCTAGCACAGTCTCTCAAGTAAAGCCAAGTGCACTTCACTTATGGTGTAGGTGATGGACTTCAACAAGCAGCACAGACGGGAGATGAAAGTGAATGCCCAAGCAAAGCAGGGAAGGTCATGTCGGTTCAATTTTAGGAATACAAGCCAGGCAAACAGTTGGAATTCAAGCTAATTGAACATCCACATAATTGGTTTGTAAGCCCCTCCCCACAAAACTATATGGGAGTGAGGGTGGAAGCAAGCATCAAGTCTAGACTGAAAGCAGATGCATTGACTAAATCTACAATAAACAAATCTATTCAATCTTATCTTTGTAATAAATAAAAGAATCATATGGCAGCAGCATGCTATTCTTGTTGCAAGAGATTTTCCACCGCCAACATTTTCACGCATATCTTCACACCTATCAATATCATGCTACGTCCACTAACAAAAGGTATTGAATTGCCAATAGAGTGGGATGGTTTAAGAGACTAGAAAAGAAACAGGCAGGTGTCTTGAAGCTGTTGGGTCCAGCCAAGACTGCAGTACAACTTGTAGTGTCATGCCTGAGTTTGTGGACTCATTCCAGTTCTTAGGTAGTAAGTGCCCAGACCCACTGCAGCCAAAAATCAGGAGCAGCAATCCACAATAACTGTAAAACTATGAGAAGCCACCCTTATAATATTAGGAAAATTGTTTTGCTCTGTTCTGTGGATGGGACTGAAAAAAAAAGTCTCCAGGATCCCAGCATGCCTTTTGGTCCTACTACTTCAGACAGCAAAACTCCTTTGATTAGGTATGGTAGCAAATCCCATCCATACAATAGCTCTTAATAAGTGTCCACATTTAAAATATACTCAGCAATTTACATAGCTCCTCAAAGCAGTTTCTGGTAAACAAGGACAAATGACTTGTGCTATTAAGTCAAGTTGACACGTGCCCAGGCACATCTCTACCGGACAAAAGACGCGTTCTACTTTAGCAGAAAGAAAACTAGTTTCCCTTAGTGACTCTGCGCCTTTGGCAAGAGCACATACAGCTAAGATCTAGGACTAGGATGACAATGCATATGGAGAAACACGAGGAAAAACACTGACATTTCCTTAAAGTAGTTCCATATGCCACAGTTCAGATATTAATTGCTTCACGGGTCAGAATACAGACTAGTTTGTTTTGGATGAAGCTGTAGGAGTGGTGGAGCCATTCTGATTAGTAGATTTTTCTAGCACTGAATTTTAAAGTAGTCTGCCACAGAGTTGAGGCATAGCGGCTTCCTCAGTTATGACTTCTCTTATGTCAGGAGAAGGAGACTCCATGTCTAGTCAGAATTATACCACTGCCAATTGATTTGTGGCAAACACCATTAAACCAGCAGAGAGCAGGCCAATGACTGAAGCCCCTGCATCAGTCATTCATCAGATTATGGCTCCTTTTTTAAACCAGACAAATGGCCAGAGCCTCAGGTTTAGGCACTATGAGCAAACTCTAACCATGTCTGAGGGACAGAAGAGCCTGGCAGGAACTCTACGAAGTTTAGCAAGAAGAAATATTTCTGAACATGGTCCGAATGATACTTCCCAATTTGGCAGAAAGATGTTTGCACACAGACAATTTTAAGGTCCAAAACATTTGCATAGTTATCCTCAATATGCCATATAGTTTATGACCTACAGAGCCTGCATACCGCCCACTGACTTGGCTTGCAGACCATTCAGGACGTCTGTTTAGTAATTCAGAATGAGTCATGGGGAAAGGTTGGACTTGCTGGTTGGGAGAGGCCAATGTTGAACTGCCTCCAAATTACTTTTTTAGCTCTACCACCAAGTGCAAGGGGTTTGAGCATCTTATCTCACGGCAAATCCCAGACTTTGTAGACAGACAAGCCAAAGTACCTATGGAGTACCCATGTTGACCCTTTACCTTGGAACAACTGCCATTTCAGCCTCCCGCGTAAGCAACTGTCCTGTCCCAGCCCTGTTCTGATGCAAGTCAAGTCTCAAGATTAATCACCCCCAGATTAAGCTGGTTGTCTGTTCTAGCCATAGGGCCCACACCTACAGTTTCTCCTTTTCTTCCCTAGAAAGAGGAATAAGGCCAAGAGAACATCTTGTGGAGCTGCAGCGAAATACTCTCCCCACAGCAGTTGGTAGACAGCCTACATACTTAAATATGTAGGATTATCTCCACCGCTATTTCGGCAGTCATCTACATTTATGCCCCAGATGCAATGTGTAACCTAATCAAGCCCCAAGAAATGCATAGTGTTCCCCCCCCCGGTAAAAAACGTAGCTTTGGACCTGGAGGGAACTTAAAAGTCAAGAAGCCTAAGGCTTTTGGGGTCCATAACCCATGCACGTGCAGTGTTGCACTATGACTTCCAGTCTGCTTAACTAACTCCAAACCCATCAAGTGCCATAGTATATCAACAAAAGCTCCCAGAAGGTCATCCGACTTCCAGCCCAAAGTGCTTCAAACTGCATGAGCTTCCCATGGCCTGATCATTCTGGACTCCAAGGAAAGCCAAAGAATCAAAGGTGTGCTGATCAGTACGAACAATGAGGAACCATGCCGCACTCAGTATCATTTCCTGTCTCAAGGCTCCCAGCACATAGCATGCTGCTGTTAAATTCCTGGAATTTAACAGCGAATAACCGCCGCCCCTCCAAATCCTTGAATTAAACCTAAATGTTCCAGACTACTAACCAAACCAGAATGGTGTCTCCAATGTAGTTAGGGTGAGTCTGCAGCTCCCTGCTTTTAGGCACTATTTCTCTTACCATGTACCACTTTCTAGTTTCTATTTTAAAACTAAAATGTTTGGGTTTTGTACCTTTGAAGTTGCAGAGATAGAAAAATGTTAAGGCTGAGATTTACATTACTTTCAGAGCCATATTACTAAAGACGGAATTGCTAGAAATGTGAAGAGGTCTCCTAAAAGAGTTCATATAGTAAAAATAAATTTAAAAAAAGCAATCTAGTTTCACATAAAATCAAGTCAGCAGGTATTCCATGTTACTACAGTAGGTTGGAGTGAACAGTGAAGTTACATTAGTTGTGCTGTAGATCCTTTATTTTAGTATTCTCAAAGGAACTCCATGTTCAAATCAGAAGAATCATTTGACATTTTTTACCTTGCCAAGCAGAACACAGCAAGTTTGCCTGGCAAACTAGGAAGCCATCAATATAACCAGTGAGCATGTACTCACCAAAATGTACATTGCCTGAATTTGACTATTTTCCCACTTGTCAGCTGTTAATACTTAAGGAAAGCAGCTTTACTATTGACAATTGTCTGAGAAAAAGCTAACCTAGCAGTTCTTAGCATACTGCTGGCAAAAGCCATCTTCCTGAGTATTATTGTAACAGCAGTGGAAGAGCTACAATACTAGGTCAGACCATTTTAAAATCAGGATGCTAATGGTTTAAGAATACCTTTCATAATTGAAATGCTAATTTTAGTGAGATGCTCACCCCCACCCCTCCCCATGAGCTCAGACAAAATGCCAGTTGTAATCAGACTGCTCAACAATTTAGCCAGGTGAACACTGATTACTGGAAAGCTCTGCAAGTTGCTTGTACTTTTTTATATAAACACATTCCCCATTATGATTTCTAAATTGAGATACTTCCTTTTAAAGTAAAATCCCCTGAAGCGACACACAAGATAGTCAGCATTGCAGTGTTCAGTAGGATTAGTTTCCCATGTAAAATCTTTACAGCAAGCAATCAGGGATTTAAAGTTTAAAGGATTATGGAAGGAAGTTTTGTTTTATCATCAAGATCCCTATGAGGTGATGGGGGTGGAGGGCAGGGGGAAATACATAGTTTCATTCTGTATTGCAGGGATAGTGTAAAGCAACAGACAAGGCGAGACTCCTCAGCAGATTACTGGCTATGCTCCTCTTTCTGGAGATCATCTTTGCACTGATCATTGATAAGCCCAAAGTTGATGCAACCAAGCTATCTGCAAGAATCAATACTCCAATGAGTTGGCAAAAAGTGAATATTGAGGAGATGATATGAACAAGCAAGGCAGACAAATGCAAGAATGGGAAGAAATAAGCATATGAGATTTGGAACTATTTCATGTTCTGCCAACAGGGTAGTTCCAAAGTACCAACATTAGCATAAAATTGTTGAATTGTTTTTTCCATTTTAAAGAGGCAAAGTCTCCATACAGTTCATATTTCCATTACTCTATTCCCAAATATGAGTCAGCAACTAGGAGGAGAGATGTTACTCATCTTACTCAGAAAAGGGAGGTTTGACAATTACGGGCAGGTGCATGCCATTTACGTAATTAAATACCTGGAATTCACAAGAGCTTAACAAAATGGAAAGCTTAGAAATATTTCATGTCAGTTATTCCATCTTTATTGTAAGTAGGGCTGTGAGCATATACCAAGCTTTTTACTTAGGAGCAGCAGTTCTTGCTTTTGTATAATCAGATTTCCCTTCACCTATAGCAGGGGTGGGCCAAGGCCATTCTATCCGGCCCGCAGGGCCCCCCCAAAAATGTAGAAAATTAATATTTCTCTGCCCTTAGTTCCTATCAAAAGTGACAGGGCTGGGGGGCACTGGATGTGAGCGGGTGGGGAGCCAGTGGGAGCACAGGGCCCACACCGGTGTCCTGGGGCCAGTGCCGGCAGGGCCCAGAGCAGGGCGACAGGAGCGCAGGGTCCCAGCTGGCAGGGGCTCTATGGAGCTATGCCAGCTCCCCCCTCTCTGCTGGTGCAGTCCAACTCGGCTCCACAGACCCCTGCCAGCCTGCGCCCCACTCTGGGCCCACCGGTGATGGCCCTGGGACATTGGTCCCAAGATGGTGACCAGGGGGCAGGGCACCTGTCAAGGGGTGGGGCTACCCATGCGGCCCTCTACAGCCTGCCAAAACTGGGCAAGCGGCCCTCCGCCTGAAATAATTGCCTGCCCCTGACCTATAGGATGTAAGTGACTCAACTAAGAAAAACCAGGTTTAATATTTAAACTATTAAGTAGCTGAAATTTATCAGAAATCCAGCTGTGATTTAAAGCATTTAAGGACAGTTAAATTCAGTCCTGTTCAGAAACAAGAAAACCAAAAGCTTTCTGGAGCCTGAGACAGACTGATAATCTGACATAACAAGGAGGTTCCTATTCACTGGTTTTCCTTTAAGCAGTGGTAAGAAGATGCCCGGGCAAGTCCAGTTTCAGTCAGGAACCAAGGCAATGCCATACATTATATTTAAATTTGAGGCTGAACCTGAAGTTGAAAAGCCTGTGTTACACTTGTAATTCAATACCCCATCTAAGAAAATAGTGAAAGCTAGATACTATAAGATTTGCAGAGATCATTCTCCAAGGCTTCTCCTATAACTTGTGCTAGTTTCAAGCTGCCTCAACTCTCCCCCGTATTGAGCTAAAATAATGAAAGCCAGTAACTGAAAGGCAGTGACTAACACCTAGGGAAATTTAGAGAAGTGGAACATTTATGTACTATACAGAGACAGGAAAGCAATAATGTCAATCCCTTAAACAGGGAGAAGCCATTTTCTAATAAAAAATGCCTTGAGCTGAAAGCCTGATCTATCCTTATTACAGTATCACGAATCCAGAGCTAGCCCGTTTTAGAGAAAGCATTAAAAAAAGTAGTCTTGGCACTGCTTAGTCAAAGTGCAATCGAACTGTAAGAGTATTCGATCTTGAAAAAAAAAAAAAAAAAAAAATCAGCTCTCTTCTGAAGATAAGTTCAAGTACAAGAACTTACTCCTCCCAAAGAACTCTAGAAAACAGGTCTGCAAGGGACCTCAAGAGGTCACTGATCTGAACCCCTATTCAAAAGTAGAATCACCCTTTTAAAGAGCCAGCCAAGTGTCCACCTAACCTACACTTGAAAAACTTCTTACAGCAGGA